TTTGTGCAAGCTTGGATCAGCTGGAGGGACAGACTTCAGCATGAAGCAGTTTGCAGAGGGATCCACACTAAAGCTCGCCAAGCAGTGCAGGAAGTATGTTTTTCTGAGTTGAATCTTAAGAAATGTCTGCCTATTCCATGCATACTTTATTTAAGACAATCGTGTTGCTTGAATATTTTCCAGGTGGCTGTGTAATGAGTCTTTGCCCACAACCTCCCGCCGCTGGTCTGTGGAAGGCCTCGCCTACCTCACTTTTGATGCTGATGTGAAGGAGGACTTGGTGGAAGACAAAAATGCTCTCCAGGCCATGTTTGAGCTAGCAAAGGTTTGACTGATCATTATAAAAAATAGTTTTTAATGTTAGTTACACATGGACAATACAGGGCAATTGGCAAGGCAAGGCAAGGCAAGTTTATTTATATAGCACCTTTCAACACAAGGCAATTCAAAGTGCTTTACAATAATGAAAGACCTTAAGAGCATTAAGAAATAGTGCAGCAGAAACAGATAAAATGGCATTTAAAAACACTCATTTAAAGGTGGGGTAGGTAAGTTTGAGAAACCGGCTCGAGATCGCTAGAATTTGAAAATACACAACCGGAGAAAATCTGCCACTTCCTTATAGAGCCCCTCCTCCAACACACACGAACGCGCACATGACCAATGAGGGCACGAGATAAGTTTGTGCACAGATGGAAGGCTGACAGGCAGGTAGGCCATCCAGTTATTTTAGCCGGGCCGGCTAAAATGATTGGTCGTGCTTTTTACAGTACTACGGCTTCCACAGATGACATTTTTGTATGGATTTTTTGTCAAAGCACTTAAGATATGCATTGCTATCGGGATGTTAAGAGCATTCCATGGAATATAACAAAAAGTGTATCTCGAGCCGGTTTCTCAAACTTACCTACCCTACCTTTAAAAGCAAAGATAATAAAAAATGAATACTGAATAACAGTTACAGTGCAGTGTGAGATATGAATATATCACTTAAAAGCAGTGGCAAAAAGAAAATGTTAAGTCAGATTACCCTCAGATGAGGTGGTTTACATGTTTGTAGTATATAAAACCACCACCTTAAGAATACACACTAACTGTTGTTTACTGTTGACTATGATAGCCTTGACAACCTTGTTTTTCTTTGTGTTACTGCAGTCTGAGGATAAGACGGTGCTGTTTGCTGTGGGCTCCACATTAGTGAATTGCACCAACAGCTATGAAGTGGAGAAGCCAGACCCTCAGATGGTGGAGCTGGCCAAGTATGCAAAGCAGCACGTGCCCGAGGTGCATCCCAAGGTACTATTTTTCAAATCTACTTTTTTTAATGTAGAGCTACATTTTCTTCACACAAACATCAGACATTATAACTTCCATATTGCATAGAAGCTCTCCTGTTCTTCTCGGTATTGTTTAGATTGTTTTACATGAGTCTTTCTCTGTGTCAGGATGCAACTTCCTATGTGGAGAAAAGATTGGGGAAGCTGCTGGAGGCCGGTGTGGTGTCTGCGTTGGTGTGTATGGTCAAAAAAGAGAGTCCTGCCCTCACCGAGGCTTGTAGGGAAGGTATCGCTAGGTAAGAAAATGGCAGTAAGTATTTTTCACTCACTGTTGGCTCTGTAGATTTTCTGGTAACACTATTTTGTCACGGCAGGATCTTCTTGGCTTTGGTGGATCGCCAGGAGGACAGAGGCACAGTGGTGGCACAGGGTGGAGGAAAGGTAGAGCACCCTGATAAATATACACTAGTTTAGCCAAAACACTGGTCTGAATACACCTTGCTTTACTGTATATGGTTAATTTATTTTTGATTGTCCTTCATAGGCTCTGATCCCACTGGCATCTGACAACACAGATTTAGGTAAAATCAAAGCAGCCCAAGCGCTGGCAAAAATAACCATCACATCTAACCCAGAGATTGCCTTCCCAGGAGAAAGGGTGAGAATCTCATGCTGTAAAAATTATTTTCAGTTAAAACATTAAGAACTTTTCCTTCTTAATCCTGTCTCATTTTCTTTTCCCAGATCAATGAGATGGTGCGCCCCCTTGTCAGTCTTCTGACTATTGAATGCACCCTGCTGCAGAATTTTGAGGCACTCATGGCTCTCACCAACCTGGCTGGCATCAACGAAAAACTCAGGTTGGCCACTAGGGGGAGTCTCTCCTAAGAAATAGACCGTCAAATATATAACATGAGAGCTTTCAAATAATCAGACACCCACGTTTAGTTGGAGTTTAGCAAATCTTCTTTCCTCAAACAAAGGAACATTATGTCGTACCTGTTGTTACAGATAAATACAAGATTTGTTATGGTTACACATGCAGGATCCTAGTTTTTTCATACCCCAAAGTAAAAATAAACGTGTAAATAGCCATACCAGAGCTGTTTTTAGGACTTAAAGGTAAAAGTAAAATTGCAAGTTTTAAAGTTAAATTGCATTTGAAGATGCAGTATCTCAAGTCTCTGAATGCTGACCTTATAATCTGTGTTGATAGTCTGACAGTGTTTATACAGTTTTTTAATTGTAATGAACTAAGGCCGAATATTTAGTGTACAGAGAGAGAGAGAGAGACAGAGCTATTTAGAAGCTATAACTGCCTGGTGCTCTCTTTATTGTTTTTGGTGTTTATCAGGTCACGCTAAATAAAATAAGATTTGAATAAGATCTGACGTCCTTTCTATATATATATATATATATATATATGAATATCTTGTATTTAAACATAGCTTTTCTGTATCATTATTTGGAGTATCAGATTGTATTTTTGTTATTTCACAGACAAAAGATCATAAAGGAGAAGGCAGTCGCAAAAATTGAAGGCTACATGTTTGAGGAGCACGACCTGGTCCGAGCTGCTGCCACAGAGTGCATGTGTAATCTGGTTTTAAGCACAGAGGTAAGACGCATAATCATATATGATTGTATGTCACAACTAATGTTGAAAAATAGAAGTAAGATTGGGTTTTTCTTCAGGTTCAGAAGCTGTATTTAGCCACAGGGAACGATCGCCTGAAGCTGCTGGTGCTCTACAGCGGGGAGGATGATGAGAGGCTGCGAAAAGCTGCTGCAGGAACTCTGGCCATGCTGACCTCAGAGCAGCCTGAGCTCTGCGCCCGCATCCCTGGAACAGTAAGCACGCAAAGGCAGCAGCTCACTGTCCATCAACTCAGCACTGTGGCATACCGCAATGATGCATTATTCAGCTTTAGCTCACATTTCTTCCTGTTTTCCTCTCTTCTTAGACGACACACTGGCTAGAGATTTTACAGTCACTATTGCTCTGTGAAATATCCGACCTGCGGCACCGTGGAGTGGTCATAGTTCAGAACATCATGCAAGCGGACAAGAGTCTGGCTGAGACCATCATGGAGAGTGAAGCTCTGGAGATTCTCTCTGTCCTGGCGAAAGGAGGAGAGGGCACGTCGAAACCCATTTCTAAGGCAGCTCAGAACTGTTTGGACATCGCCGTGGAGTACAGCATCATCATGTCCAGGGAAGGCAGGGAAAAGGAAAAGGAAAAGGGAACTGAACCATGAGAGCTCAGCTGCAGTATGTGGATGTGCCACCAGGCAATGTTGAAGTGCTGTGAGAATTATGTGGAACCAGCAAAGTCATTTAACTTATGCAGGAAACTTTTGGTCTGGGTGGGTACAAGCAAATCTGGAAATGCTCATGTGTCTTAACTTAACACTGTCCCTAGCATTAAAAAGATGAGAAAAGATAGTTGGTAAGGAAAGCAAGCAGATGCAAACAGAAGTGTTGTACTCTTTCACATTGCGTTGCTTTCACATTGTATTGTTGTCTTAATTATACTGAATGTTCTTGGACCACCACCAAAAGTGTAGGTCGGACCAAGTATGCTCTATACAATCTTTACTAAAGATTGCTATTCTTTGATATTTCCAAAAAAAAATATTTTGATATTATGATTCCCAAAAAACATTATCTTTATCATTTTGTGCACTTTTATATTTAGTGTGAATTAAGTTTCAGCAGCTTTCAGCATTCCCTCACATTTTCTGAAGGAAATGCATTGATTTTATAATTTAACCTAAACACACTAAAAGTTAAACATTTCCTTCACAAATGTGCATTTTGTTTTGATTTATGTTATTGTGTATTATTATCCACACCACATTCCTAGTGCTTTAATTGTATGGTTTGTTTTCTAGTAATGACTGAACACAAAAAATAAAACCTGTATGTGAACTCTCTTGTCATGTCAACTTCAACAATGGTTGCCGCTTATTATATTATCAAGTCATTTTGCATCAGGTTTACTCATAGACCAATTCATTTTCTGTACATGAAAGTTTTTGGAAACACTTGACACATTGCCTTTAATGACACACCAATGTGTGTTATTATATTGTTTTTGCTACGATGTGAAATTGATGTTTCTTAATTGGAGCATTTCAGTTCCTCAGACTTATTTGGGATGTTTGTCACTGTTCGTATTTCCAGAAAATATATAAACAGATGCAACCAAAGAATGGGCAATGCTAACGAATGTTAAATAGGCTACATTATAATTTTGTTGCATGGTAAAGTAATAACATCTTTATAAAAGTTATGTCCCAATCTCAACAAATGAAGCTATGTTTGGATTGATTCAGTGATGCGCCCTTGTCTAAATCCTAAATGTTCAAAAAAACAGAATCATATATGTTTGTAGATATATAGTCAGATGACGAACTCAGTACCACAGTCTCCATCTCAAGGCCTAGCTTTCTTAAAACATTGATGTACTTTAGCTGGATGCCTCATCAATGACGTTCTATTTCACAATCTATCAGTGTTGTGAAATAGATTATATTAGAAAACTATGTTGAAAGAATTGTGAATGGTTTTGTTGCTGTAGCATTTTAACCATGGTGGTCTACCTATACTTTATAATATTCTCAAAAGTGTTATTAAAAGACATGTTGAGGGGGGCTGCGTGAATGCTTGTGCGCATGCGCAGCATACCCGGAGCTACATGCACCTAGGTTTAAACTTTGCAGAAACTGCGTCGCACGTCTTTCCGCAGCGTAAACAGAAGTTACCCGTTTCAAATGCGGTGGTTCGGTTTTGGCTTCAACGCATTTGGCCAGATATATGGACAAGATAAATTATTGGAGGGAGAATGTTTTGAGAATGAACAGGAAGTCAAAGTGAGTAGTCCAACAGAGCTTACTGCTCAGGAGGACAGAAGTGACTGCAGACTGAAGACAGATTGTCAAATCAGAGCAAGCTGGAGTCGAAGAGCATCTTTGTATTTGAATGGTAAGTCTATCAAAAATAAAACAGCTCTTGTTTGACACTCGGAGTGCGTCGATAATATTAATATCACTCTTTATCGAAATACTAATTATCCACCTTGCTCCCTGTTTGTTAGGTGACAGCTGTGTGTGCCTATCAGGTTTCGTCTCCAATGAGTCCTGTGGTAGTCCTGTAAAAGAGAGCCGAGGCTGTAAAGATGCCATCATCAGTGAATCATACCTGACCCTCGCTTTCTCAGACAGACTTGAGTCCTGGGATCTGCAAAAGAAAGAGACGTCTCCATCATGGAGCATGGAAATAAAAACAGACCCAGAGATCTCTGGTAATCTTGACCTCCTTTTGACATCTTCTACAAGTATGATATGTGTTAGAAAAATATCAGTTTCAATATCAGGATACATGTATTATTATCCCTGCAAGAATGGAAGTAATCATTCATGCATTTGGTATGTACAACTAGTTCCCCGAACAGTGTCCTTCATATGCTTATATTATACAAGAGAGGGTGTTACACAGTCACAAGATGCATGAATACCGGTTCAAATCAGTATACAATGTTTTGTTTAGATTATCTAAGGAAGACCCACGTCAGAAATGATCATGCTTGTCATATGTCTATCTCCATAGAGGCTGAATCATCATGTTAAGCGTTGTCACATAGCTATCATATGCCTAAAAGTAAAACAGTGTGTCCTGACACTCTTCTAGGCAATCATACATCCTGTCATGTACACAGCTACAGTTGGGCCTTTGTTATCATGTGCTATTCTAATATTGGAAGAGTACATTCAGTATTTTCCCAACAATATGTTAATTGGCTAAATGGATATCTTTATGCTGCTTTCTAGGAACCCCTCTAAATCTCCCATTGGTTCCTGGGGGATACATAGCCATCAAAACGCCCCTCTACCGCTCCTTATCCCCACACCTGAGAGCCAAGAGTCTGGCCCTGAGCTCGGAGCATGCCATCCTCCTCAGTGCCTCTGGAACTGTGTACACCTGGGGACTTGGCAGGTAGACCTAATGCTTAAACACCTGTCTTTAGTGGGAATCAAAGCAATATTATGCACTCATGCATATCTTGATCTTTTGTGTAATGCAGCCATGGTCAACTGGGGCATGGAGGCCTGACCCCTGAAGAGGAGCCCAGGGCAGTGGAGGCCCTCTGGGGGATGCCCATGAGCTGTGTAGCTACAGGAGGCTGGCACTCTGTCTGTATTAGTGGTGAGTGTTAAACAAAACGTTGCCAGTGAAAATTCTACAAATTGAGGTGGAAAAGGAACTTAAATGACATTGTTCTTCAGATGGGGGAGACCTTTATGTGTGGGGCTGGAATGAAAGTGGACAGCTTGGACTTCCATCACGAGGTCTGAGGAAAGCAACGCAGCAGCAAAGTAGTCAACAACAAGAAGGTAAGAGACTTTTCGCCTCAAAACTCGATCAAACTAGTATTTATTTTTACCGACAGTGCTTTCCATCAACCAAAATACTATTGTGTGCTGAAGATCACTCAACCCAATATGACATTACTCTCAACTGTAACGTTTTTCGTGTGGTATGTATGATAGCTACAATTCTCCACACTTGAATAAGCATTTTCGCAGCATTTATAGAAGATGCTTGCCAAAAGATTTACTCTGAACAACAGGGGGAAATGTTCACTGTTAGGTCTGTGGATTCACTGTCATTATCTATTTTCAAATGTAATTTGGGCACCATAAGCTAAATGCAATCAAGCTGAATCGTACTGTGCTACAGTAAAAAGCTCATAACGCACATTTTCAAACTATTTAAATATATTGATAGTACTTGAAGTATGGGAAATTCTTTCATTATCTATGTTTATAATTTAACCATCCCCTGAACTGTAATGCAATCTCACCAGGCATGCTGCTTTTAGTCACCACTCAAAGTTGTAACTTAGAAGAAAATAGCATTACTGCAACATTTACTGTGCTGAACAGAATCACCATGCACGTCTACTGCTGAAGAGCCACAAGAGGGAGAGACACATGAAGAGGTATTCATATCAATCCAGGCTTTCCCGGCTCTGCTGGATATCACTCCATCGTGTGAAGTCAGCACAGTCAGCTGTGGCTGCCGACACACAGCTGCAGTAACAAGTAAGAAACCACTTACAACACTTGACAATGGTTGTATAATGATGCTTTTCATTGGCAGATCAGTCACTGTCCTATTTATGTTCTAATTCCAGCCACAGGTGACCTCTACACTTGGGGCTGGGGTAAGTTTGAATTTAGAGCTAACTGCCTAAACAGATTTTGTTTTATCTTTAGCATGCTCCCTGTACCAATATAATTCATCATTATGCTTTAAGCACAACTTAAGCTAATACACATACTCTGTCTATCTCTCTATTACCATTTAGGTGACTATGGCCAACTAGGACACCAGACTTTGATCAGTTCAGATGAGCCTCAGCGTGTGGAGTTGTTTAAGGAGCAGCAGATGCGTGTGGTTGACGTAGTGTGTGGTGCGTGGAATACCTTTGCTTCTGTCGTCAAGGAGGAAGTAGCTGGCCCTTAAAGTAATATGGAATTCCCTTGATAAATGTGGACATTGGACTTTGGACAACATACCAGGAAGTGTTACTTATAGCAACAAATACAAGAGTTTGAATTAAATGTATTTTGTATAATATAAAACAAACATTGTGAATAAGGTCTTCTTGAAAATATTTTTTATTTTCTTTATAGAAATAAAAAAATCACAGGTTTTTACATTTTACAAATGATCCATAAAATAGTTACGGCAATAAAATACAGTATAATTTAAGGCAAATATCTAAAAGTGTTCTAATTGTAAATGAAACACCATATGAGAGTTAAAGGGTGATCCATTGCCACAGCCCATGAGGTCTTCACAGCACAATCTTGAAAGAACTGTGGAGAAATATAACAGAAGCAGTTAATTATGAACAACATTGCTTTTAGTAAACTATATATCTATCTATCTATATATCATCATTTGATTTTTAGTCACCTGACAAAATCTGGAGATCTTGAAATGACATGCTGAAACTCTGAGAGGTTCACAGTCCCATCCTTGTCAATATCTGACTCTTCCAGAATCTGTAAAACAAACCAAGGGAACAACTGTTACTCTGACACGTAGGTGTACAGAGCTGTTTGAACCATGTAGTGTGCCTTTCTACATATTTAAAAAGGAAGAAGCCCCAGTGAACTCACATTGTTAATGAGCTGTCTCATTTCTTCAGGAGTAAGCCTTGTGTCGTCTGTCTCACCGGTGAGGCAGTTTACCAACTTCTCCAGATCGCCACAATCAAGAGTTCCATCATCGTCAAAGTCTGAAAATACAAATATGCTTGTTACACAGATTGATGAATTACACGTTTAATTAGTAACCAGCTCATATTTGCATCCACTTATTTACCAAATATACGGAATGCATAGTGGGATTTGATTTCCAGAGTAGCAGAGTCACTGAAGGCACTTAGGAGATCCAGGAAGTCCTCAAATGTGAGGCCTCCATCTTTGTATTCAGATGTTGAGAATACATCGCAGATTCTTTTCCTGAAAGGGTTGGACTGTAAGAGGGACAAGTACAAGGGTCAGTGCAGTTTATCATTACTTCTACAAGAACACACAAAGCACAAGACACTCCTAGTCATGTTATGCATATGACCACTAAGCAGTCAACATAACACCATATCTCTCCTATTTTACTTTCCAATAGCTTTTCACCTTGAGCTCTGGCAGAGTGAGAATCCTATCCATTGGCACTCTGGTATTTGGAAGGTCCTTTTCATCTTTAGTGAGCAGTTCAGTGAATCTCTTGTGGGCACTAAACAAATTAATAAAAAAAGACATACGCATGGATCACAATAAACATTGAAACATTGATTCCTATGCTTTATAAAACAACATATTTGTTATGTGGCATGCAGCTCACTTACAGAAGAATTTCCTGTTTTGTCAAGAAAGTCAGCTCCTAAAAGTACAAATGAGTATTATTAAAATGACAAGTCGCAGAATACATAAAGCAATACTTCATTCATTTTAAAGTCTGACTTTTCTATAATAGGTACATCAATGGTCTGAGTTGTTATATTGGCAACAATAATAGCGATATAAGCGTGATGAATAGTGGTATTTCAATAAAGCTACCCCTAGCGTTATGCTAGGGGGTTTAACTAACTTTACGTTATAGACAGCAAGATAATCATACTTGTTTGATACAAATGCTGTAACAGTTTTAAGTTGCCTTTAAACGTTAGGCTAAAATAACTTCTATGTTACGATATCCTCGTTTATAAAATACAACTTTTCAACTTTAGCCACTCGGTTAACAATGTCGATATAATATGTACTTCGGCACTTACTTGATATTCTGAGAGCATATCCTTCCCAAGTTGACTTGCAGTAGTTCCCATTTCGGATAATTCAGGTCGCAAATGTACTTTTTGTTGTTGTGAAGAGTTACGCAGCGAACAACAAGTTACTCTTTACATCGCCTACTTCCGGGTATCAAGTAGAACGTCCCCTTTCCTGTATTTGGCTACGTAACGGTTTCCATAGTGGCGTACATGCAAACAGCTTCCTTTATAATATTCTTTCAGGACAAATGGCGAGGGCTGGTAACTTGTGGGTGTTACTTATGAAGTTATAAAAAAATGTCCTCTTACTTTATTTTGACACAGTTCATTGTGAATAAAACAAAACCCTGACTCTAGTCTGAGTGACACTGAATTACTTTGGAAATTCCTACTTTTTAATTCTAACAACTGGGAAACCTGCAGACTTGTTGATATTCTACCATTCCAATCTTCGTGTCTTCATACAGTACATCGATGACATTTATTATATTACTAATAATGTTTTAATGTAAGATGTACATCTTTTTGCAATGATTTTTTTTGCAGTATATCACTGGGTCCTACTCTCTAGAATCTTTTTGCTAAGTACGTTGGTATAGAATGAGGTATTTTGGGTGGATTTTTGCTTTTAACAATGAAAGACATGCAACAAAAGAGTAAATTGCCACAATCCCATTTTACATTTGAGCCAATATAACACAATATATAAAAGGTTCCAGCATAAGTATATTGCATCAAAATTTCACAAAAAATGTTTTTTTTATTTTTTATATGTCTTGCTTATATTCTTTGCATTGTTATGTCAGCCAGTGTTCATCATTTGTAACTACCCAAAAGTCGAAAGTAAAACTTCTTTATTTTTATTATAGATCTGCAACAAACCACATCATTTTGTGTTGTTATCATTGTCTTATATCCATAAGCAAACAAAATCAGGACATTGATGCATTTCTTTCTATAAAATCCATCATCATGAAAGCATATTAGAGAAAAAACTATTAAAAAAAGATAGGCCCAAGTATATCTACAAAACTGCAACCTCTGGTAATGCATTAGTTCACAGAGCATTCACTAACTGTTTTTTCTGATCAGCACTTCATACAGATGGGATATACAGTAGACGAGGATCTTGACAGGAACATCAGGAGATGGTACATTCATTACTGGGAAGAAGACACTCTAAGCCCCTGGATTTGTCTCCCAATCGGTTGTATCTGAAAAATAAAAATGTTGTAATTTTGCACAAAGTAGAATAATGTGCAACAAAAGTGCTTAATACATTTCATTGTTCTGTAAAATATTTCACATCCTACTTAGGCTTCTTTATATTTCTACCAAATACAACAACTCATGTGTTATTTATTCACAGACTGTACCTATCATTTTTGTTCCCTCCTTGGTCTCAGCTGGAACACCGATCCCATACTCATTTTCAGCGGTGACTCTGAAGAAGTAGATTCCTCCCTCTTCCAGGTCAGACAACTTGTAGAACAGTCGACGGCATTTGTCAGTGAGTCTTGTCCACCCTTTCCTGCTGATGTCCCGTATATCTACAAGGTAGTTATTGACAGGGGCTCCTCCCTCATTCTCAGGGATGTCCCAGGTAACAGTGGCAGAATTATTGGTCACGTCTTTAACTGCTACATTACTTGGCGGTCCAGGCGAGTCCAAAACTCTCACATTCAGCGTCAAAGAGGCAGATCCAGCAACGTTTTGCAGTCTGACTATGTATTTTCCGGAGTCATCGCGTGTTGCTCTTTCCACTGTGATAGAGCTGATTGAGCTGCTGGTGTTGATCATTCCTCTGATTCTCAGATCAATATCTGCTTTGTCCCATGTCACACGAGGAACAGGCTTGCCTGTGAAAGGCACAGTCAAAGTGAAGGTGCCTCCAACTTTAACAATCAGGGGTTTCCTAATATCAGTGCCAACATCAAATCTGGGCTCCTCCTCTCTCTCCATGGCTACTTCAGGATCTGTTTCAGGACTGGGTTCGCTGATGCCAATCTTATTTATCGAACTGACATAAAAAACATATTCAGTCCCTGAAGTGAGCCCAGTTACTGTAAACTCTGTTGTATCTGTGTTATGAACACCAACAGTCCAGTCTTCTTCTCCCGATTTTCTGAATTCAACTTTATACCCTGTTACAGCTGATCCACCATCAAACAGCGGCTTGTTCCATGACAGAGTGATGGAGGCCCTGGATGAATCAATTATGGTGGGTTTCGTAGGAGGAGATGGGAGAAACTTTGGATCTTCTGCCATAGTTAGCGGGCATGGGAGACTGGGTTCACTTAGCCCAGCAACATTCTCAGCAAAGACTCTAAATTCATACTCGCATCCTTCATGCAGCCCGGGGGCTTTGACTCGTAGGTCATAGACAGGCTTCTTGTTAACACGCACCCAACGGACACCTTGCTTTTCCCTCTTCTCAATAATGTAACCACTGATGCGACTACCACCATCAGAGGTAGGTCTCTTCCAGCAGATAGTCATAACTTCACTGGTTGCACTTGTTACCTCAACATCAGTCGGAGCAGACGGGATAGTAAAGGGATCCATTGCCTTGATCGGCTCACTTTCCAAAATCTCACCTTCTCCATATTTGTTCACTGCTCTCACCCTAAATAGGTATTCATTTCCCTTGAGTAGCTTGGTTATTTTGCACGTAGTTGCCATCAATTCACCATACATTAAGGTCCAGGCAACTCGGCTTGTTTCACACTTTTCAACCATATAGTGCATGATCTCAGCACCGCCAGTCTCTTGAGGGGGTCCCCACGACAGGGTGCATTTCTCTGCTGAGAGTGCAGACACTTCTAGAGGTCCAGCAGGTGGGCCGGGTCTGTCCAGGACCTTGCAGGTGATAGACCTAGATGTAGTACCACCCGTACTCTGTAGGGTCAGAATATACTGTCCGGAGTCTTTCCTAGCGCTTTCTCTGATAAGTAGAGAGGTATGCATCTTTGTTGCAGTTATCTCAACCCGTCCCTTGGTGCCAATATTTAGACCATTCTTCGACCAAAACACTGTAGGGTTGGGTCGGCCAGAGATGTCAGCATCTATTCTTAGGAGGTCTCCTGCTTTGAAAACCATCACCTGTCTAAATTTGTCCTCCAGTATAATTTTGGGTGGCTCCACATCATGCTGTACTGTAACTGGCCCCGTGGTTTCAGAGGGCGAACTAAAGAGATCAGCTGAATTCTTTGCAATCACACGAAAATCATACTCTTCACCCTCTGTGAGGCCAGTCACTTCCAAGAAGGTGTCCTGTAAGTTGGTGAAGTTGCATTTAAGCCAGCAATTTTCAGGCAGCTCTTTACGCTCAACAATATACCCAGTTATTTTTGCCCCACCATCATATTCTGGTTTTTCCCAGGACAGGGAAACTGAGCTGTCTGTTATATTGGTAACTGTGAGGTTGTTTGGGGGATCACACTGGTCTCTTGCTGCTGCAGGCTCAGATGCCTTACTGCATGGTCCAACACCAGCCATGTTTTCAGCACAGACCCGGAACTCATATATCAGCCCTTCTTCAACACTTGTTACCTTGAACTGGTTCTCACTCACTGGGTTGCGGTTTAACTTTGTCCACAAAATACTGCTGTGATCCTTGCATTCAATATGATAACCAATTATAGGGCTGCCACCATCACTCTCTGGCTTGCTCCATGCAACCACCATGACAGACTTTGAGGCACTAACAACATGGAGATTGGTTGGTGGACTGGGGGGCTTAAAGGGATACTGGGCAACCACATGTTCAGACTCAACAAATTGGCTTTTACCATAACGATTCTCTGCAGCAATACGAAATTGATATTCAGCTCCCTGGGTCAGACGGGATATCTTGACTGATGTTCTGGCAACCGTGGCTGACACAGTTTGCCATATTGTACTGCCTGTATCTCTTTTCTCAACAACATAATTACTGATCTGACACCCACCAGTATAATGTGGGGGCTGCCAAGACAAAGACATAAAGTCAGCACTCACTTCATCCAAACTGAGATCACTTGGTGGTCCAGGTCTTTCATAAACATTAACAGAGATTTCAGCAGATGTAGTTCCTGTCGAGTTGGTAAGGGTCACCTCATACATGCCAACGTCTATTTTGGTTGCATCTTTGATAATGATCTGCGATGATGTGTCAGATGTGTGCACATTTACCCTGCTTGTCTCTTTCAGCAAGTTGCCATCCTTCTTCCATGTGACTGTTGGTGTTGGTACACCCTTGAATGGAACGTCTATCTTTAAGTCACTTCCTGCCTTCACACTAAATGTGTTGGACAGCAAATTAATAATGGGCCCAGCACTAGTGTCCTTTACTGTTACAGGTGCCATGAGGGACTTTGGTTCACTTTTTCCTTTGTCGTTCACAGCGCTTACTCTGAAGAAATACTCCTTTTCTTTTGCCAGCCCATTAATAGTTGCTTCAAGTGATTTACTCTCTGAGCACATTGTCCATGCTTCTTCTCCCTTGGCCTGCATTTCTACAATATAACGTGTGATTTTGCTTCCTCCATCATGGTCAGGCTTCTCCCAAGAGAGTCTTGCACTATTAGAAGTAACATCACTGAGTGTGATTTTACCAGGAGGCAGAGGAGCCTCAGACACTTTAACAGCGTCAGTGGTTACTGCTGGCAGTCCAGTGCCAAATTCATTCACAGCCAGAACACGAAAACTGTAGAAACTTCCTTCTTGGAGATTGTCAATCCTGTATGAGTTTCTTACACAGTTGCTACATACGCTTGTGAATGCCTTTCTAGCGTCTTCTCGCTTTTCTACGATATAGTGTGAAATCTTTGCTCCTCCGTCAATGAGAGGTGCCTCCCAGGAGATGGACACAGAGTCCCTCTTTATATCCTTGACCTCTACGTTTGTTGGTGCACTGGGGGAGTCCAATACTCTGACATTAATGAATGCTGATTTAAGGCCATTGCAGTTCTCAGCAGTCAACCCATATTTTCCTGTGTCATTTCTATTGACATTCTCGATCACTAACTCTGTGTAGGAGCTTTTTACCTCAATTTGAGCGCGTTCACTGAGAGGGCCACCATCCTTTGACCATTTAACTTCAGGCTCTGGCCTGCCTCTGATGGTGACAAGGAGTCTTAATGTGGAACAGGCTCGAACACCGACAATCTTCCTCAAGGTTGCATCCAACTCAATCTCAGGTGCCTCCGG